ACAGAGATTGTCTTAGTTACTTTTCTTGTTGCTGAAATAAAATACCGACACCCAAAGTTAAAGGAGGAAAGGTTTATTTAGCTTAGTTTGTAGAGGTTTCAGTTCTAATTGTCTGGCTCCAAGGCAGGGTGGCATTGCAGAAGAGAAATAGTTCATGGTGGGCACAAGGTAGTAAAACAAACAAGAGATGACCACAGGGCAGGTAGCACTCACACCCTTAATACTAGTGTCCTTTATCTTACCATGAAATCAATTTCAGCATCACACACTCTAGATCCAGCCACCTCTGAAAAAGCCCCTCCTATGACTGCATAGGCCTTGGTGGGGGTGGGAGGGACTTTGAGACACAAACCATGACTCTATCAAAGAATAGAAAACATACATCCAGACTTGCCTGATTTGTGATGTGAAATTGAGCCTTGTGGGCTGAGACTCTGAGCCTGGACACTAAACTGTTCTGCCTGCTGCAAACTGGCAAGAGTTTGTGCTCCCAGGCAACACGAGAGTCCTCAGGGCACAGCCCCTTTACCATGACGGATATACATGTGGCTTGGGACAGTGTCAGATCTGCCCTGACAGAGCTTGCCTCACATCTACCACACCAGCACCAGGTACAACTTCTACAGAAGAAACTGGGCTCCAGGAGTTACATTCCTGCCGCAAGGCATTGGCTCAGGGAGGATCTGGTGGTGATAGCAGGGTCTCCTTGCCAGAGCTCTGTGGTTACCCCAGGCTTTCCAAGAAGGAGCATCACCCATCCCAGGACCCAAAATAGGAAAACCTGGTGCTGGTGACATGTGACAAGGAGTCTGGAAGTTGGGACTTGTCAGGTGCATGGCTATGAGCTCCTGAGGCTGGGTCAGATCTATTTAAGGCTGTCAGCATTTATTGCACATGTAATCTGTATATCTTGGGTCTGGTGATTAGGTTGCAGGGACTTTTTATAAAGTTTGTAAGAAAAGACTTGTTAAATTTGGCAGCTTGATGTTTGAAAGAATTTTGAAGAAGTTGGAGGAATTTTAGGGTTCAAAAGAATTTATTAAAGCAATAGTATCAGATTTAGAGGAGGAGTGTTCAAGCCATGGTATCCAAAAGATCTTGGTTGGGAAATCAGGGACAGAGAGGTAGGGGTAAAGGACCATAGACTGGGTAGAAGGAGAAACAGTGGATGTTGATTTAATTTTTGTTCTGTCTTTATTTCTCCTCTATCAAAGGAGTCATCAAGGCTGGCCTTATTCTGACTTTGTTTCCTATTTGAAATCTGATCTCTCTATATGTACTGTTATGGTTTAAATATAAAATGTCAGCCAAAGACTCATGTACCGAGGGCTTGTTCTGCAGTGCAACAATGTTCAGATATTGAGTTTCTTCACTGTAGAGAGGAGATAGGTTCATAACGACTATAGCTTCATAATTTGATGGTATTATTGGCAGGTGATGGAAACAGTGGCTAAGGCCTATTAAAGTTAGTGGATCATGGGGGAATGACTTTGGGGTTTTATTCAGTCCCTGTCCCCTTCCTATCTGGGTCTTTCTCACTCTCTTGACTACTACGAGGTAAGCAGCTTTCCTCTGCACTCCTACTAAGCACTTCTACTATGATGTTCTTCCTTGGAGACACCTACATAAGCCCAGACTGAAACCTCTGAAATTTTGAGCCAAAATTAACCTCTACTCCTTAAGATGTAAATGTCGGGAATTTTGTCCTAGTTATGGGAAAGTGACTAATACAGAAAATATTCAGCAGTATCAGATGTGCTGCTGAAGAATGAAGTAGCTCCTTCACACTCACAAGAAAATGTGGTTTGGAAGGTCAGTGGAAGGGAGTACCAACACCTGATAGGAATTGATAGCTCCATTTCTATCCTTAGCTTTCCTCAGCTTGAGGTGTAGTTAGGGATCCTCTATGCACTGTGAAAGATTCTGACTCTGAAATAGGAAGCTCTCTTACCAATCTGGGCTGTCAGGGAGATTACCACAGAAAATTCTGAAGACAAAGACTAGAGGCTGACACTGTAGTTGGTACCTGAATGCAAGTCCAAGTACATTGCAGGAGACTGGCTGCTGGCAGTGGTATTAAAATTATTATCAGGGTATATTCCTTCTGATACCACCTCGGGCCCCAAATGCAGAATAAATACATCTCTTCCATATCCAATGTCTTCATTCTTCTCCACACCAAGCAGGTTTTGTAAAATACTGAAATATTACTGATGGTCTGTTTTACTGTTGTTACAGTCATTACTGCTATTTGCAGTGAGTGCTGCTAAGGAGGGCCCAGTAGGGTGATATGCACCGTATGAGCAATTGCTGGATACAGACCCACTTCTGGAGCTCATTCACTCAATGTGATGTTGAATGATGTTGCATAATAAAAATTATCCAGATACCACCTTTGATTTATAACCTTTAAGTTGGTTCACTTGTTCTGATCTCATTTTCTTGGAGGCATTTGCAATTTCAAACAAGTCTCATCTAATACTGAGACACTGAAAACACCATCATCTAAGATCACCTTCAGGTGCCTCAAAACCAAGAATGGCAGTCACAGAGTGCCTGGGAAGGGCAGTGGTAATGCTCATGATGTAGGTGGTACCTTAGTACGGGTTGAGGCACACTTCTGGGATCCTACTGTCTGTGGTCAAATTGACTGTCTCCTCGTGAACTAATTCCATGGGATCTAACCATTGTCTTTTTATGTGTATCAGATACATGATCTTGGAGTTTTTATTCCGGAGCTTATTTGCAACCTCAAACAGTTGTTAATAAACACTGGTACATTATTACTTTCTGTCATTTTTTTCTACCCATTAAAGTGTTTTCTCTGCAGGTGCCTTTCTCTGTGCAAATGAAACCAATCTTTCCTCTGTGGCTTTCAAAGTCCTCTTGGTAGAGATAGTGAATCATATCACCCAGGCTGGAGCTGTGATTCCATACCAAGATGGTGTTCCCACACTTTTGCAAGACTGCCACAGTTGATCTATTGGCAGTATAATTGGGGATTCTCTTGTGCTCAGTAATGTGCAGTTTGACAGTGTATCTTCTGGGTCACTGAAAAATCCATATTTGCAAATATAATGAACTGGATGCCCAGCCTTGAAGTGTTAATATAGATGACTCTGGGATCTTGAGAATGTTTGTCCCATCTATTTCTGTGCATGATGTGGAACCTCTGGTTAGGTGGAAAGGCTCAGGCCTTCTTTGGCAAGTATCCATCCAAATAGTAGTACTTGAAGTTCCAGTGACTATTGATGCACTGACCTCCATGCCTGCGCAGACCAGAAATTTCATACTCGTCTGTCTGTACAGAAGGTGCCATCATTGGAAATGAATGTTTTGTTGCTTGTAGCTTGGTAGCTTTTAAGGCAGACACAGGAGAAGCCTCCAGGTGTGTTGTGACAAGATATATGGTTTCCGTAGACCACAGTGGTTCCAAACTGGAACTCATTTTTATCAACACACTGTCCTCCCACTGGCCACAAAACCATACTTGCAAATACAGATCTTTTTCCTATCTCTTTGCTGGCATGTAGCATGTTCTTGGCAAGTGGCACAGATATTGTTGGCTCTTGGCAACCTGGTCAAGTCAGGCTGAGCAACAGCAGGAGGCCAGGTGGATAGATCATGGCCCAGGGCCCCAGGCCTAGACACCATCTTTCCTGTGACTCCTGACACAGCCTAGAGGTGTGGAGATAGGGCAGTGAGTGTTTCCTATCTCTTTGCTGGCATGTAGCATGTTCTTGGCAAGTGGCACAGATATTGTTGGCTCTTGGCAACCTGGTCAAGTCAGGCTGAGCAACAGCAGGAGGCCAGGTGGATAGATCATGGCCCAGGGCCCCAGGCCTAGACACCATCTTTCCTGTGACTCCTGACACAGCCTAGAGGTGTGGAGATAGGGCAGTGAGTGGTGATTGGTAGAGTAGGTACATGTATATAATACAGCTTGATTCTTTTCTAATGTCCTTCCCTGCTTCCTCCCTGGGCTCAGAGCTGTGTTTGTTTGAGTCTCACAAGAGACTTTGGACTTGGACTTTTGGACAGTGCTGGAGCAGGTATGACTTTGGCGAATCTTGAGGGCAAACTGATACACATCTAGAATCCTAGGTTGGAGCCTAATTGGGGAGGGGGTGTTCCACAGTGAACCAGGTCCACTCATCCCAAGAAGTCAATTGAAGAGATGGTGTTAGGTGAAGACAAGAAAGAGAGGTATTCTCGTGTGTCCGTGCTGAGGAGGAAAAACATTGACATAATGTCTGTCTCTCCAACGGGCCAATGATAGTCTTGGGTTACAACAAGGGTCAAGTGCTAGCACAACTGGCAATCTTAGGCTATGGTTTGTTGAACCATTACCTGAGGATTGGTCAGGCAGGACCTTCCTACAAGATAGTTGATGTGACCTGGTGCAGTGGCACACACCTTTATGCCCAGAGTTAGTCAGCCAAGGAAGGAGGATCAAAAGTGTGATGTCAGGTACCTTAGCAAGACCTTTGTCTTAGTTACTTTTCTCATTACTGACACAAAATACCCAACACCCAAGGTTGAAAGGAAAGGTTTATTTGGCTCACAGTTTATAAAGGTTTTAGCCCATAGTCAGATGGTTCCAAGGCAGGGTGTATCACAGAGGGGCAGAGGGGCATCACAGAGCATAAACTCTTCATGGTAAAGGAGAGCAGACGGGGCAGCAGACAAGTGACAAGCACCAACATTTGTTCCTTGTATCTTATCTAAGCTACCTACCTTTGGGGAATAAGCACAAGTGAAAAGCAAAGGCAGCCTCCAAATCCTTTTGTTACGTTTGGCCCTGTAAGATGAATATGCTGCAAGCTTTGAGAAGTGGGGACTAGTGGCAAGACGGTAGGTCATTAAGAGTACATTCTAGGGGCTGGGGATTTAGCTCAGCGGTTCGGTGGCCTGCCTTGCAAGCGCAAGGACCCAAGTTCAATCCCCGGTACAAAAAAAAAAGAGTACATTCTAGGGGCTGGGGATTTAGCTCAGCGGTTCGGTGGCCTGCCTTGCAAGCGCAAGGACCCAAGTTCAATCCCCGGTACAAAAAAAAAAGAGTACATTCTAGAAGAGTATTCTGGGACATAGTCTACTCCTCTTCCACTTCCCTGCCAGGATCTGCCAAGTGCTTCTGCTACAATGTCCAGCTTCACCACACACTTAGGTTGATCACACAGACTGGGGCCTTGGAACCTGGGAGGCAGAACACATCTTCGCTCTTCATCAAATGTAAGAAGTACTTGTTACAGCAACTTACAACTTGCTGCCACACCCAGTGACACTGCTGTCAGACTCTGAGACTCCTGACCTGTAAAAGAATACATTTGTGGGCTGGGGATTTAGCTTAGTGGCACTGCACCTTCCTTGCATGTGCAAGGTACTGAGTTTGATTCCCTGTACAAAAAATAAAGAAATATGTTTGTGTTGTTTTAAGCCACCACAGCTAGGGTCACAGGCCATGGCAGTAATGTACTGCTGAGTGAGATTTACCGGTGAGCTTAGTTCCCCCTCAAAAAGTAGACATAGCCTGATGGGAACCTTTGAAGAAAACAGAAGGAAAACCACCACTATGCACTGACATAAAAAGGAAGAGCCCAAAAGCATTTTGTTAGTTTTACTCAATACAAAACTAGAAGGGGAAATAAAGAGATATATAGAGCTAGAAAAACTAACATACTTCAAACACAATTTGTTATCCACCAGGAGTTAGTGCACATAGAGTGTTAGAACAGAGTTGAGTATTTAGAGAAGTTCTCAACAGAAAATTAGGAGGTGGACACATAGAGGTGAAGAAAGTGATGGAGGAGAGAAGGGAAGGAGAGGAAGTAGAAAAGGATGAAAATGATCAGCTACATACACACACTAACATATCAAAGCCAAACCCGTCATTCTGTGTTACTATTATGTGCTTAAAAAAATACAACATAAAAAAGAATTTGAGGACCAAGAGAAGCTCACTGACTTGCTGCAGAGGACCTGTTACCTATGTGATGTGCCAGTGAAGGAAAACATACAATTTACCTTAATAGAACAAGATTCCAGGGACTGCTTGAAGAGAATCATGCAAAACTTCACAGACTTGATACATTTATTGACATAAATGGACACACACACTATTGATGATGGATGGGTACATGCGATACTATAAAAACCTGAGTGTCTCTATCATTAATCTGAAAAGCATAGCAATCCCAGTCAAAATTTTCTTTTGTGTATGGAGGACACTATATGTAACTTGATGAATTTCTACCTTGCAAAATGGATGTGATCGTGACTCACTGACTGGTGAACTCCCCCACCCAAGCAGCCTTGAGCCAGTATGTATGTCTACAAGGTCACAAGGAAAGGGAAAGTATAAATTATTCCATACACCAGTTGGATATTATAGAAATAAAATAAATATAACCAGCTTCCTTTATGGATTAAAACCCAATCCACCGCTTGCATATCCTCAGCTTTTTGGTGTCTCAGTTTCCCCAGTCAAATGTTTGAAAGTCTAAGGCTTTCTCTAGCTCAGGGTCTTCGGCTCCAATCTAGCCATGAGGACAATGAGCTGCCTAACACAAGGATGTAACACTCAAGAAGCTCCCTAGGAATGTTACTGCTACCCATGACTGCATAGGCCCCAGGTAGAACAGTTCCTGGAGGGGAGGTATCCCTGTGTCCTGTGCCCTGTGTCCTTTCAAAGGTGAGAGTTGCACCCATACTGCAGGCCTGCACTCACCGTGTTCTCTGACTCATTGGCATTCCCTGCAAAGACAGAAAGCTTGTGTTAGTGACTGCTACATGCTGTACCCTGAGATCCTCTAGCCTGGGACCATCACATCCTGTGCTGGGCCAGGAAAGGCAACAGGACAGTCCTCAAGGAATCTGCAGGCATGAACCTAAACACCCCTCTCCCTTTCCACAGTTATCTTCCCCATTATTTCTGGAAGCTTCCAAGATGCCTGTGGTTCTTTGTACCTACAGCACCCAGGGGTCATCTAGAGCCTTCCACCAACTTGCTCTCCCACCAAGCCTGGCCAGACAAAACTTAATCCAAGCCAGGTCTGCCTCTGACACTGAACCTAGTAGAAGCTCCAGTGACAGAGCTGGCTGTCCCTCAGATGCCTGAGCACTGTGGTCCCTGTAGGTTTGTGCCCTTGGTTCCCTTCAGCTTTTGCCCTAAGAGAGGAGGACTCTTTCCTATGTGCAGCATGAACTTGGGAGGAAGTGGACAGCCCTGCTGTGAATCAGGCCCCACAGGACCTACCTGCAACTGGGCGACCTCTTGATCTTATCAAATTTAGACGTTTGCATAGGAGTCCACATATGAATAGAATGACACAGATGGAGATCATGATATAACCGATCCAATATAGCCGGTTGCTATTCTCTAAAAAGTGGCAAAAACAGAAAATGCCTTGGTAAGGTTAGAAACTGGCACTTTACCCCAGCAGTCCTATGATAAAACAAAGCAGCACCCCCACTTTCTGAAACCTCAGCCACAGCAGCCCTGGGAAGGAGGCCCAGAGAACAAGCCATGCCTGTGTGAGGAGAGGACGTTGCTCCTACACCTGAGGGCAGGGGACTGTCTTCCCCAAGGCGGTCTCCTGGTGGAGTCAAGCCTTACACAGGTTTGAAGGCCTCATAAGGCTCTCTGAGGGAATGGTTTGTCACCATTCCTAGACCAGGCCAGTGGCCTCTAGGATAATTGCCCAAGGCGATGGGCAGTCAGGCCACATCTCAGGTGATCCACACGTCCCCTGTGACAGCAGTGGATGTCCTGGTTATTACAGTAGGAGCAGCTGAGCATGTCCCACTGTAGTAGGGTACAGACCCATAAGAGGAGCTCAAAAGGCCACCTGACATCCTGCCTCTGTAGAGTTTCCATTTTCCAGTAAGAAAGAGAAATCCCAACATTTTAAAGTGTTTGTTTATTCAATTTTAAATTATGCTAAAGTAGATATAACATAAAATTTATCATTTTAACCATTTTCTAGAGTACAGTTGAGTAATTTCAGACATATTTACATTGCTGTGCAACCACCATCACCACCAATCTCTAAAACATTTTCATCTTCCAAACGGAAACTGTCCCCTTGCCGGGGATTTAGCTCAGTGGTGTCTCCACTTGCCTTGCAAGCACAAGGTCCAGAGTTAGATCCCCAGTACTAAAAAAACCCCAAAAAACCCCAAACCCAAATCTGTCCCCATTAAGTACTCACTCCTCCTCCTACTTTCTTTCTCCATGGATCTGACTCTATGGATCTCATATAAGAGGAGGCATATAGTACTTGCCCTTCAGTGACTGGCTTATTTTGTTGAGCAGTGTCCTTAAGGTTTACTTATATTGTTACATGTATCATAATTTCCTTCCTCTTTAAGGTTGAATAATAATCCATGGAATGTATATACCACCTTCAGTTTGTCTATTCATCCATCTATGGCCGCTTGGGTGGCTTTCACCTTTTGGCTGCTGTAAATGCTGTGAACACAGCATGCAAATATCTCTGAGTCCCAGTTTTAGTTTTTTGAGAGCTATACCTAGAACTGTGATGGCTGGGTCATAGATAGGTTAATGCTATTTTTAACATTCTAAGGAACACCTATATGTTTTCCACAGTACCTACACTATTTTGCATTCTCACAAGGGATGCACATGCTCCAATTTCTCTACATCCTCCTAACACTCCAGATATATATCATAGTAGGGACTGAACTCATGCTGTGAAGCAGGTGTGGTGCCACTGAGCTAAATCCCCAGCCCTATTTTCTGTTTTTTAAACAGTTGCAGGCCTGAAAGGGAAGAAGCAGAATCTCATCATGCTTTTGATTTGCATTTGCTTAATGATCAGTGACACTGAGCATCTTTTCATGTGCTTGTTGGCCATTTGTATGACTGTTGCAAAAAAGTCTGTAAAGTTCCTTTCCCCATATTTATAATTGGGTTTTGTTTTACACTGTTGTTGCTGACTTGTGGGAGTTCTTTGCATATTATGTCTACGGCTCTTTTATTAGATCTGTGACTTGCAAATATTTTTCTCCTTGTCCATGTTGCCTTTTGCCCTGCACATTTTGATGCACAGAGGCTTTTAAGATATCTGAAATCTTGTTTGTCTATTTTCCCTTCTTGGTCTATGCTTTTGCTATCATATTGGAAATCACTGCCAAATTTAATGTCATTAAGGTGTTCCTCTAGGTTTTAAGAGTTTACAGGTTGAGGTCTTACTTTTAGGTTTTTCTTCCATCTTGAATTAACTTTTAGTGCATGTTGTAAAATAAAGGTCCAAATTCATTCTTTTGCCTGTGAGTATCCAGTTCCCCAGAATCATTTGTTGAAAAGATTATCCTTTTCCCATTGAATGGCCTGGGTGCAAAAGTCTAACTACTTTAGAGAATTGTTTATAATTCAGTTAACAAATGAATTGTAAGAAATTTAGTTAAAATGTAGTATGTGTGTGCTTATTCAGCCATAACAAGGAATAAAGTACTGGCTCACACTACAACCTGGATAAACCTCAAAAATGTGGTGCTCAGTGAAAGAAGCCATCTATAAAAGGTCAGATATATTCTGATGCCATTTTTATGAAATGCCCAGAATAGACCCATACACTGAGATAGAAAGCTGATTAGTAGTTATCAGGAGCTAAGGGATGTGTGGTATTACAGTGTAAGGGGATGGCGTCTCCATTTTGGGGAGATGTGTACATTTTAGAAATAGAAGGAGGTGGTGATATTGAGTGACACTAACTTATGAACTTTTAGATTATTGATTTTAGGAAGGTTGTACATGTACAAATCTACAAAAATGAAACCTATTAATCTGTGTAAACAATATGAACTAGTGAGAAAAGTATAAAAATAAAATGGTTAATTTCGTATTATCTGAATTTCAACTCAATAAAACATAGCCAGGTTAAAAAAACAAAACAAAACAAAAAAAAGAAAAACCTCTTACTTGGATCAGCCACCCCACAGGCTATATTTGATGTGGCGTTGCATTCCCACAGGACTGGAATCCCCTCAGGACACCTGGAGAGAGACACTCTGTTAGATTCCTTTGGGGCCTCTCCCTGACATCAAAAGCAGAAGGTGGCTTTGCAGTCTCTTGGTATCTGCCCAGACTCCTCTTGGGAGAACTGTGTGGTTCAGTCAGAGACTGCTGAAGAACCTCCTAGCTGTTCCCAACCTGACCAGCATCTAAGATGGCGTCAGTGAGATTCTCACTAATGGCCTAAAGTTGACCAATTTTCCTCTTCTGTGAATATACGGACAGCCTCATTGCTGCCCTATGTATAGAAGCAAAAGTGAACTTGCCCTGGTTTTTATCAGAGCCTCAAGATTTCAGGGTTTCTTCCTCATCACTGCACACTGCAGGCCTATTGCTCATATTTATGCACCTTCGTACTACCTAGGCCTGGATGAAGGGGGACTTTGTTACTTGTTGACTTTACTCATAGCATTAAACACTCCGCATCTCACAGCGGGTGAAAGTCATGCCTTTATCTAAAAATCATTCCTGACACTCCTCCTTAGCTCTTCCTTTTTCCTTTGCTATGCCTTGCTTATAATCTGGGTTCTCCAACACTCCTGGGAATGAATGATGCTTCTTCTTAGACCCTTAACTCCACAGACTTCAAGCAGAAAACACTGAAGAAATCTCCAAGAAAAACAGCCTTTTGGGAATTTAAAGCCCTGCTCAGGCTGGGATTGTGTCCTTTTGATAGAAACCAGCCAAGGAGACATTGGCAGGTGAGTCCTGGGTCACTCAGGCTGCTTCAGGTTCTTCAGCACAGGATTCCTACAGTTGGGGAGGCATCATGCAGATCTTCAACACTTCTTCGGACAGAGGACAGTAAGTAGGGAATAAGGCCTTCATCAGATGATGCTGCAAAGCCACGTCTAGCATCAATTCCCAGGCATTATGTGCAGAATAAGGAGAAGAGTAAGAAGGGAAGAACCCAAGGGAAAGAGAGGTCTGGGCCTGACAGCTGGTAGCTGTCCAGCAATGAGGAAACTGAGGGGACTGAGGAATGAGGGGCCGTGACAGAGAAAGGGAGGGTTGTGGAGATGTGGAGAAAGTGAGGCATGAAAGGACCAAAGACTACTTCAGAGAGTCAAAGGCCAATCAGAAGAGCACAGGATGAAGAGAAGGAACTCAGGCAAATGGAATGTGTGCAAACTGGAATAGCCTGGAAAGTGATGGGCCTGGCTGCATTTTGGGAGAAAAGAACAGAAGCTGTGGTGGGAGCCATCTCCGTGTTGCTACAGACTGCACTGACTGCCTAAAGGTGACGGCCCTGCTGGTTCTCAGCCAATAAAGTAGAATCCCCTCTGTCACCTCCAACCCATGCCCACTTACTTGTCACATGGCATGCAGGATTCAGAGGACTCAGGGTACTGGTAGAAATAGCCTGCTTTGCACTGACACTTCCGGTTGCGGGTCTGGGAGCACTCCCCCACCATTTCCTGGTCTGCATTCGAGGAAACACTGGGGTCAGTTCAAGATGGAGACCCTGACCACTCACACACACGAACCTGCAGTTACTAGAAATGGGAACATGGTGTGTCCCCTGTATGGAGCTTAACCAGCCAAAGTAGGTGCCCTGAGGTCTTGTTTAGTCTCAAGTAGAAGATCTATGGGAGTCCACTGCTCTATTCTTTCAACTTTTCTACATGTTTGAAAACTTTCATAATAAAAAGTTGCTTGTTCTCGGGCCGGTGATTCAGTTCAGCAGTCGGTGGCCTGCCTTGCAAGCGCAAGGACCTGAATTCAATCCCCAATACCAAAAAACAAAAAACAAAAAGTTGCTTGTTCTCTAGGAATTGAGCTTTGTCTTTTTTCTGTGCATATTTTGTTGGTTTCTAGATGGAATTGGCTAAATTTGTGATTAGAAAAAAATGATAAAAATGTCAAGAAAATGCCTTTTGGTCAGAATATGATTTAAGGTTGTTGTTACATTGTTCTCACTCTGACAATGCATAAGGAACAATTTTTATGCCAATGAAAACACACTTGCTGCATTTCTGCAGCATCTGTTTGTGACTGTTTCATGCCAGTGCTGGATGAATGGGTAATTGGCTTTTCTCCATGTTTTCAAAGTTAAACACTGAACACCTAAAATATTGAGGCTCAGCTTCAATTTCTTCTTTGGGCCACATTCCTAGCAAGGGCATCACTGGGTCTAGGGGTGCAGGTATCATGTCCAGATACCAGCAGACTCACCATCATGGCAGGTGTCACAAAGGAGGCAAGAGTTCAGGCCGTTGGAAAATGCTGTGAATGTTCCTTGGTCACATGGGACACACTTTCCCTGGGTGTGGGGTCTCCGACAGGGCTCCTCGACATAGTATCCTGTACAAGCAGTTGGACAGAGGTGAGATCCTCTTCCAGGACCCATCTGGGTCATGGGCTATACTGTGCTTCACCCAGTGTCAGGAGGTTCACATGTCAAACAAGTCAACAGATATGCTCATGTTTTGGAGTTTAAGTTCAAAGTAATGTCTGGAAGTTGCAAGTTCCTAGACATGATTAAATGACCAACTGCTTTGGTGGCCTCCTTGTGATATTTACCCTCCAGTTATCCTTCTTGAACTTTCCCTGCCTCTCTTTAGGGTTCAGTTCTCACTCCTAGCCAGGTGGAGCTGCTGTACGTGCCCTGCCCACTCAGTACAGACAGATACACAGACTCTGCTGTACAAATTCGGGGTCCTCCTTACATGGGACAAGAGACACCTGTCTAAGGTTCTAAAGAGTAGGCAGCAGCTGAGTACAGTCCCTGGTCCTCACACACTCTATCAAGCATAGCCACTGGTCTGCTCCAATGGCCACCTAAGTCCACACTGGGGCATTGGGTCCCATCCCAGGACTTACCGGCAGGACACTTCTTGCAGCAAAGGCCAACATCCATGTATTCATCATCACTGCAGGACCTGGGGCCAGGGAACTGTTGGTTCTGCTTATTAGTTGACATGGCTATGGTGATTATCTTCAGGTTGAAAAAAGACAAGAAATGTCTTACTAAAACCCCATATTTATTGGTGATTATATTTGTCTTAGAAGTGATATTGTGAAGCAATGATAAAGGAAGCAACAGGCAATGGTCTCCTCACCTAAAAGTAATCATTATGAGCAGGTGCTATCTGGTATGTGTTAGGAACTCTATTGCTTACAGCTCTCCAGAAGGGACGAGCAGATAAATCCAGGTGAATTTTAGTCAATTTTGGCTATTAACACAGTAACAGGTGCCTGTATTCCTTGCTGGCAGCCCAGGAAGGAGCAAAAGATGAGTATTAGGGTGGCCAATTTGTTGGTAAATTTATTGATAAAGTTTTAAAATCTTTCTCATCTCTACACCATGCTCTATTTCCTAGCAGTGGCTGCTTCTCACCGCAGAGGAGCAAAAAAAAAAAAAAAAAAAAGGAATAGTTG